TTATATCAAATGGATGTGAAAAGTGCATTTTTGAATGGTTATATTATGGAGGAAGTTTATGTAGAACAACCTCCCGGATTTGAAAATGTAGAATTTCCTCATCATGTCTATAAGTTGAAAAAGGCTCTTTATGGCTTAAAACAAGCTTCAAGAGCTTGGTATGATAGACTTAGTAATTTTCTTATTGGGAATGATTTTAAAATGGGCAAACTCGACACTACACTCTTTATTAAGATTAAAGAAAACGATATGCTATTAGTGCAAATATATGTGGATGATATCATATTTGGTTCTACTAATCCTTCTTTATGTGAAGAATTTTCTAAATGTATGCATAGTGAGTTTGAGATGAGTATGATGGGAGAACTCAGTTTCTTTCTTGGACTTCAAATCAAACAACTCAAGAATGGTATCTTCATCAATCAAGAGAAATACACTAAAGATTTGCTCAAAAGATTCAAGTTCAATGGAGGTAAGATTGCAAGAACTCCCATGAGCACATCCACTAAGCTTGACAAGGATGAAAAAGGTAAAAGTGTGGATATTAAAGCTTATCGAGGTATGATTGGATCTTTACTTTACTTGACCGCTAGTAGACCCGATATTATGTTTAGTGTATGTCTTTGTGCTAGATTTCAATCTTGTCCTAAGGAATCTCATTTACATGCCGTTAAGAGAATATTTAAATATTTGCTTGGAACTATTGATCTAGGATTGTGGTATCCTAGAAATGTTGAATTTAAATTGGTAGGATATTCTGATGCAGACTTTGCCGGAAGCTTACTTGATCGTAAAAGTACTAGTGGAACTTGTCAATTTCTTGGTAGTTCCTTAGTTTCTTGGTTTAGTAAAAAGCAAAATTCGGTTGCCTTATCTACTACCGAAGCGGAATATATTGCGGTTGCTAGTTGCTGTGCTCAAATTCTTTGGATGAAACAAACTCTTTGTGATTTTGGATTAAAGTTTCATAGTGTGCCTATATTTTGTGATAATACAAGTGCTATTAATTTAACTAAAAATCCTATTCATCATTCTAGAACTAAACATATTGACATTAGACATCATTTTATTAGAGAGCATGTGCAAAATGGACATATTATTCTTGATTTTGTAAACTCTAATAATCAACTGGCCGATATTTTCACCAAGCCATTGAATGAAGAAATTTTTTGCAAAAATAGGCTTGAGCTTGGTATTATTCGTTGTGATATATCTTGAATTTTATAATTTTTGAATGCATGTTTTTAGGGGGAGCCATTATGTCATTATTAAATGCATTCTCTTTCAATTGTTCATTTTGATGATTACAAAGGGGGAGAAAATTAAGAAAAATATGTTCTAAATTTGTTATTTTATAATTTATGAATCATTTACTTGGTGTTTCATAATTTCTTGAGGCATTAATATAAGGGAGAATATGCTCTTGAGTGAAATTTATGATAATATATTAGTATGTAGTGATATTATTACATGGATGTTGTATTATTGGTTTTTATGAATTTTTCTTTAAATGATTTGTCATCATCAAAAAGGGGGAGATTGTTGGCTTATTGGCCCTTGATCTCACATTAATTAATTTCAATGAATTAATTATTGATGTTTTGATGATAACAAACCTACTTTTAATTATTAACTATTTTCAGTTTTTTGAACTGTCCACAGTATAAGGTCGGGAATAACGATTACAACAACTTTTCAATTACTCAAATCAGAGCTAAAACGAAGAAATTAGAGTCGAGACAACATACCCGACGTGATGATGTGGCAACAAAATCAAAATGATGGACAAATCAAAATATATCAAAGTATGACATTTATAATATTGGAAGAGTAACACATGGTGGAGTTTTTCTTATTATTACATTTCTAAATAAAATTATTTTTACAAATATAAATTTGAATATAACCGTTACTCACATCGAATTTTATTATTACTATATTATATTATTATATTATTATATTTTAAAATTTTGGTAGTTACTCACATCATTTTTATTATTATTATATTATTATATTTATAATAAATTTTGAATTACATTTTACCGTTACTCACATAACTTTTTATTATTATTATATTATATTACTATTATATTAAAATTTTGAAATAAATGAATTTAGAAAATTTTCTTACTTAATTACTTTTAATCTCCACCTTCCATTATTCCTAACACAATCCAATGGTCAATATTCAATCCTACATTTTGCCACTTTTCTCCTCTATATAAACTCATCTTCCCCACATTTTTAAAAGATACAACTTACATACATTCTTCAATCCTCATTTGTTCAAAGTCTCCATTGTTTATTGCTCTCTCCAAGCTTACAAGTTTATTTCTTTTCATCTTATTCTTGAGAGGGATTATTATTATATTGTGAGGAAATAGTTGTCAGTATCCCAAATTGTAAATCTACTCTTTGAGAGAGTTGTGGTGTGTTATTATCAAACTCAAATACTTGTATCGGTTTGATCCTGCGTCGTTGAAAGGATTGAGTTTGCTCTTGAACTCGTAAAAAGAGCGGTGTACCGGTTTGGCTCTGATCCGTGGAAAGAGTCGGAAAAGTTCTTTATTCAAATTCCCAAGAGGCGCTTGGGGAGTGGAGTAGGTCGAGTTTGACCGAACCACTATAAAACTACGGTGTCATTTTCTCTAACTCTTTCCTATTTAATTTCAAGATTATTATTATGTTTATTGCATGTTCTACTTGATTATTGTTTTGACTTGAATTATTTTGTTTTAGTAATTATCATCTTCTACTTATTTGTAAAAAGTTTTATCATTAGAAAAATTAATCAAGTTTAAACACTTTTATCGTTAAAACCCTATTCACCCCCCCTCTAGGGTTGCCATACCGATCCAACAAAGGGGACCCCGAAGGGGGGTGGACACGAGACGGTATGCTAGCAAGGACGTTGGGCCCCGAAGGGGGTGGATTGGGGGGGTTCCACATCAGTAGGAGAAGAAAACGAGTGCCAGCGAAGACACTGGGCCCCGGAGGAGGGTGAATTGTGAGATCCCACATCAGTTGGGGGAAGAACGAATATCTTTTATAAGGGTGTGAAAAATACCTCTCCCTAGCATACACGTTTTAAGAACTTTGAGATAAAATTTGAAAGGAAAATTCCGAAGAGGACAATATCTACTAGCTGTGGGCTTGGACCGTTACATTTCCCATGTTAGGTTCACATTCTAAAAGTCAACGAGCAAAACTTGCATCAAATCTTACTTGAGTTCGTTTTGTTTGGAGGTAGCCATTAAGAACTTCAAGGCGACATGCACACTCTCTATTCAAGCTTCCAATTTCCAAGTATACCTTCCAAGGGTGGCGATATCTGAACTTGCCATGGCGAGGCTCCCATCTTGCAAGGTTGGTCTATCCAAACACATAACCCCATTAACCACAAAACAAGAAACAAGAAACAAGAAACGAACAAACCCTAAGAGCGTCGAGCTAGCTTAGCACACTCACCAAAGATTCCTCGTTCGATTTCGAGTTTAGAACGGTTCTATATTTTTGCATGTCAACCTTGCCAACCTCTCCTTGCTCTTGTAGTAATCCAAAATACTCAGCTCCAAACCCTGCCAAAGATTCACTTATAAATCCATCAACCAAGTCAAAGAGCCAATAGATTCTCTCATGAAAACGACCAAACATAATTTGATTTGTACCATGAAAGAAAGTGGCAAGAGAATCAATGTTGGAGGCGACCAAATGGTGAAGATCAGTGCCAGCCCAAACAGGACAGACAAAAACACAAACAAAGACAGTGAAACAGCATCCGATGAGAATGGTTAGCATCCTACTATATGCAAGCTTTGCAATTTCATCGTCTCTATATCCGGACAATGATACCATGCAGAATGTCAAGATGAATATCAGCAGCCCATAGTCGTATCTCGCCTTCATCTTTGGGAAGAATCTTATGAAAGTTGATATTGCAGCTGCATGCCATCCATTTCAAATCAAAAGTTAAAAGCAATATCAAATTTGGTTAGAGATGTCTATAGAGCGAAAACGGGAAAACCTTCTCTATCTCTGTCCCGGCCCCTACTTTATTTTTCATACCCACAAAATTTTCTATTTATTTTTGCAGAAATCGGGTGGAGATTCCTCAAAGGATGAATGGGGATCCGGTTCCTCGTAAAAATTTTTGACCCATTTTTTAAATTTTGTTTAAAATGGTTATTTTCGTAAAGTATAATGATCTGAAATCAAATATAAAAATGATTGTATTATTATAAATTATAATAGAAAAATATACATATTTATTTTTATATGGAAAAAAAAAGTAGGAATGGAGTGGGAAACTGGGCAAGTACGGGAAATACAATCCTTGTCTCCGACCTTGTTTATCTAACAAAGATTTTTCCTAGTCCCTTTTCCATTTCCAAATTTGTTCGTAGATCTCGTGAACTAAATGAACGTTTCTAAATTTCATGTACTAAAAGAGTTGTCATAACTAGAAATTTACCTAGTACGAACACAAACAAGCCGAGCATTATTGGTCGGCCAGTATCTCCACCCAAGCTTGCCAAATAATGAGCTCCGAACCCAAGAGCTCCAGCTAAAAGAGTTGCCATAACTCGATTCAAACCTCGTCCTAGTGTCCCTCCTGTTCAAAAAAATGTCATGAGTTATCATAATTTACCAACTTAAAACATCGAGCATTGGTTACTATCAATACAACACGTACCAACGGAGAACTCAAAGACAACAACGACGGTGACAACAGCCCATATTGTGGAGGTTCCAAACCCGTCATACAAAGGCTTGAAATAGTAGAACAAAGACACCAAAGTTATAGCTAATCCCACTTTCAAAGCATGAACTACCCTTCTTGTGTCGTCCTTCGCCAGCTTCTTCGTCATTGTCGCTAGCTCGACCGCCATGGCTGGGAGCTTCGTGAATATCGGCTTCACCCACCTCAAGCAAAAAGGTAGCAACCCTTCATACTCATTGGAGCTCTTCTCAGTTGCCATTGTTAGAGTAAAGCTTGTCTGTTGTTTGGATTATAAAAAGAGTTGCACTGATCTCTACTTAATATAGTGCAAGTATTGCGCGTAGAGAACAACACATTTGCATGTGAATACATCATTTGGCATTCACTGATTGTACTCTTCTTTGACTGTTCTTGGTTAACGTACAATCCAATAAATAACAAAAAAATGTTTTCACACTTTATTATTGAATAATGAATGTTTTCCATTGCAGATTTAAAACATGTTTCAATTCAACACCATATGACATCACATGTAACCATGTAACCGTTCAGATCCACCGATATTATCTTATTTAGACTTTCCTTTAGAACGTCCAGATCCACCGGTGTTTCGTTCTCCTCCTCAACCAATGTGAGACTCTCACATCATACTAGAGATATCTATTTAATCTATGAGGTCCGGCCTTGCATCCATCTGTCTTGAACAAATCTCTCTTTATACAGAGAATAGAGAGAGAGTGGAGAGATATTTTTACCTATTAACTAAACGGGCCGAAAAGGGAGTTTATATTTCTCGACCCCGCCTCAACCTTGTTGAAATCTCCGCTCCAAGTGTTTATAATATGTGAGAGTGAAATACTATACTACGTAGTTATAATATTGAAATTTGATTTTTTAATAAAAATTATAATGAATAATTTCGTAGAAATACCTTTTCCAATTTTTTATTTTTATTTATTAAGTTTCTTTTCTAGAAATACTGACATTCTGACAATATATTAATATTACATATATAGAAAGATTTGGTTGTCACATGTATGCACCTTAGCTGTGAAATTAATAACATATTCATAATGCATATCATATGTTTCTTGGCTCTCTCTATACGAATATGAATTATTTTGAGAAAATATGGAGGTTGGGATATAATCCAAAAATATATGAAATTTTTATTTAAATTTGGCATCTTAGAATATTTTAATTCATATATGGATTTGTTGCTATTATTATTATATTTATACTCCTCAAATTCCCTCGATAAAATATGTTGAATGAATGATGTAATGCCCGAATTAAGATAGAAATTGAAATTGAAATTTGAAATAAATAAAGGGATAGTTGATGGCTGCCTCATCGACAATGATATTAGTAGGGGCTCACGGTTCGAAATCGATTTTGAGCGTACCATTCTTGCTCGGGTGCATTTTTGAGTTTTCGCCCTGTTTAATATGAAGATTGGTCACCCCCACACATTAGCCAAGGATTTCATTATAGAGCTACCGAGGATGACTAAAAGCTACACGATAATATTATGATCATTGATAGACACACGAATCGACATACTTCCTGTTAGGAAAGTCTATGAACTCGGTTAATAGTTGGATGCAAATGTATACGAAGGAAATAACTAGATTGTTGAAGTTAAGAATGAATTTTCATCCATAGATAGATGACCGAACTGAACCTCTAAACTAGACTTTGGAGAACGACAAACAGTTTCGACTTTCTATTATACTTTATGAAGTTTACTTATAACGACAGTTACCAAGCAACCATCCTTATGGGAGATGTTGTAGATCTCCAATATTTTAGGATGATGTTGAAGAACGAAGTTGGTACGCTCGAAGTTGGTCCAAGCTATAAATTAGGTCATTCAGATGATCAAGACGAAGATGTGTATGACTCAGAGTAGATAAAACAGTAACGTTGATGTGAGACATAAAAACTTTGAATTGATTTTTAATATATGATTTTTTTTTCCCGCACACAAACTCGGGAGGCAGGTGAGATTCAGTTGGTGTCTTAACTTTTAAACTATATTCAAATCGATCGATGAACAAATATTTAACTCACAAACTCATAGTTATTAGATTAAGGTTTTGACTGACACAGAGTTAGTAAATTTCAAACGTTGTCCAAATTTAGGAGTGTCATTAAAGTTTGAGCTTTGTCGCTGATTGTTGTCTGGATTTGGCTGCAATATTTTGACCAAAGTCAACACCAAGAAATTATTGCACCTTTTAATGGCATGAAATATATATTTTTTAAAATTAATAATTATTTTATTTTATACTTTAAAACCTTAAAAAAAAAAAAAAAACATAATTATTTCTACAGCAAAATAATTCTTAGAGAAATTTAGTTGTAAAACTGTTCATAGTCTTTATGAAATTTCATAATTGAGGTTACTAATTTGAGAGAGTTTGTGTCGGTCACTTAGGGAACAATGAGAATTTAGATTAGAGTTTTGTTTTCAAATTAGAATATGAAATAAATCGAAGAATTCAATGAATATAATCTAACATGATGATCTTTTAACATTTTATGTCGGCTTCGGCTAGTTAGGTATTGTTGTCAGTTTTGTAGTTTTAAAACGCGACTGTTAAGGAGGGATTTCCACGCTTTTGTAAAGAATATTTCGTTTTCTCTCCAACCGATATAGGATATCACAATCTACTTTTTTGGGGTCAATGTCCTCGTTTGGTCCCCTCTCCAGCCGATGTGGGATATCACAGTCCACTCCCATTGGGGGCCAGTGTCCTCACTCATTCCCCTCTCCAACTGATGTGGGATATCACAGTCTGCTTCCTACGCTAGCAAGGAACGTTTCGTTCTCCTCTCCGGTCGATGTGGGATGTCACAATCCACTCCTTGGAGACTAGCATCCTCGTTGGCACATCGCCTATTGTCTGGTGTCTGACTTTGACTTCATTCCCATTTGTTCTCGTTAGCATATTGTCAACTTTGGCTCATTACATATTGCCGTTAGTCTCAGTTTTTAAAATATTTTTGTTAGTGAGAGGTGTTCACACCCTAAGAAAACGTTTCGTTCATCTTTTCAATTGACGAACTGAAGTGTTATTTAATAACGATTGTGTTGCTTTGGTTTATAATTTTCTTATTTGTTGGTCTCATTTTTTCTTCTTGATAACTCATTTGAGAATCACAACCAAAATGTCCAAGTATTTCAAAGACTTTTGTTACCGAATTTCTTCACAATCATCGTCCCAAAAATGTCTATGATTGAACAAAATAGTCCATAGCGGAGTACGCATTCATAACTCATTTCTTTGTAAACGTGTTTTGCATTTAAAGTAGTATGATCTTGAATTCACTAAAAATATCTGTCCATCACTTTTTCGATAGTCATTTTAACCTGAATTTTTCATACCTTTTTTCTCTTTCTTGCTTCCCGTTTCAAGTTTTTTAGTCTTTCAAGCTATTACGTGATATAGAAATCAATGTACCATTCAAGGACTACGCCAATTCACTAAACTAAAGTTCATTTCGTGTAGTGATGGTAAATTTATAACCTAGCAACCCTTATCTCTTGCTTTACGCGTTGGTGCATTCATTAAAACATCTGAAGAACGAGAGTAAGAGAAGGCGCATCGAGCCAAGTTTCTCCTAGATTCATGTATTTCTAGTCGGATCTAAATGGATGAATGAACAATTTTTTTTTTTTTTTTTTTTTTTTGGGTGGAAGGACTTAGGTACTCAATTTTTTATAGATTCGGGACACGAACTTGTTCGCTGGTTCGAACAATTGTAACAGCAAAATCCACTATTAGGCTTGGAACGATCGTTTGAAATGAGCGGAGCTCTATGTTTACTTACAATGCCGATTGTTCTTGTTTTATTTCTTTCTTTTTTTGGTTCTTTGGTAGGTTGCCATTGATCAATAACCCCCACGTGGAGGCTCCAAATGGATCGATACGAATCTTCGTGGTCCCTTGTAATTTAATTAACTCGACCAAGAAAATTCTGAGTAATTCAAACTTGAGACTAAGTAGTTGATCATGACCCGTTTAAGTTCACCTGATTCAAACGTGCTCAATGAGATTTACGTGAAGAAAAGAAAAAATTACACAAGAGTGCGGTGGTTGATACACATATTTCGATGTCTAAATATGAACACATTGATTGGTGCAACGAGATTATGATTTGAGAATGAGGTTGGACTTGAAGGAGAGAGGAACAAATGCAACTAATACAGAGAGTGGATTGTGAGATTGCACATCCGTTAGAGAGGGGAACAAATCATTCTTTGTAAGGTGTGGAAAGCTCTTTCTAGCAATCACGTTTTAAAAACTTTAACAGAAAGCCCGAAAAAGAAAGCCCAAAGAAGACAATATCTGTTAGTGTCACGAACCCGATTTTCGAGGCTTCGAGAGACTAAAAAAGATAAAAGCGAAAACAAATAAAATTAAATAATAATAATAATAAAATAGAAGATGAAAATCGATTAAATTTAAAGCAAGAAAAAGAGTTCAACCGACACCAAAATTAAAGTCAACTATTACAAACGAGAAATACAATTATGAAATAAAATACAAAAGACTCCAAATAAGAAAACGGACTGATGCTCTGGAATGACAACCCTCTGTGACATTGCAGCTCTCGAACACCTCCCCACCTCGATAGGTACCTGAAAAAAAAAAAAAAAAAAGGAAAATAGGACCCGTTTATTATAAGGGTGAAATCAAATGAAAGTAAATACTAGATAAAATAAAAATAAAAGACGAAGGTGAATAAACTTTCAGATCGTGACAGTGTAGCTTGACACTAAGATGAAAATTTCAAATCGTGATTAAAAAGACAGGTGAAATCAAATAAAGATAAAATCCAATCATGAGACGGTGTTGTTTGAATTTATTACAAAAGGTAAAAATAGATAACAAAACATTTATTATAACCGCGTGTAAACCTCTCCTTAACAAACGCGTTTTAAAATTATGGGACTGACGATAATACGTAACAGACCAAAGTAAACAAGATCGACTAGCTGTACCTTAAGCTGTTATATCATTGAGGTCACCTAGTCGCTAGGGTCACTATGAGTGACGATTTCAATGAACTAATCTACAATAACAACATGACAATGATCATTAACAATGGCTGAATTTGGCAACTTTTGGTGCTCTTGTTCCAATTCCAAACCACTTGATTTCCCAGCTTCAACACACTTGAAATTTGCAAGTGAACCCAATTCACCAACGGACTCTGCAATCTTCTCAATGCAAGAAATGGTATCAATGAGCAATGAAGCCACGGTCGCTATCGGTACTATCTCTAGGAGATCAATGTCCCCGTCCCCCGGCCCAATCTTAAGCGCTGCCTTCAAGTCCTTCATCGCTGCCTTCGACTTCTCAATGTGGGGATTTGGAAATGTAGGTTGAGTCATCGTTCTTAGGTCGGATGCTATGTCCTCCAGAGCATTGCTTGACTCGATGCTCATTTTAGAACAAGACTTCATGAGTCGGTCTCGGATGTGTAATGGAGTCTACATGAAATACATTTGAATTCTAAGTCAAATTTCATCCGTAAACTTATCAAATCAGATCTAACACAGTCGGCTAAAGTTAACTAAATCGTTTGGTGTGTTTAAAGTTTCTTACTTGAGTTTCAGTGACAAGGTAGCTGTTGAGAGATTCGAGTCGATAAGCACTTTGTCTCGTTAAGCTTCCAATCTTTCGATATTGCTTCCATGGATGACGAAATTTGAAGGCCCCATGACGTGGTTCCCACCTTGCAAAGTTAACCAGTGACTCTTCAGTTTGCCTCGATGTCAAAACGCTCTTACATCCTTCAAGAAGCTCATCTTCTTTCGATTCATTTGAATATTGAACCCCAAAACCTGCCAAACAAAACACATAGGGATCAAAACTAAGTAATCTTTCCTACATCAAACAGTGCAAAACTATCAAATACTTCATAACAATTTTAGAAAATAGTCGACACTCGATCCTAATCAGGTAAAATTATGAGCAATAATATGGTGATGATGAGCTAATGAGTGAGAGACACCTTGGAGGAAGTTGGCGAGAAGTTGGATGTTGTTGGAGACAAGAGAATGGAGATCATCACCAGCCCAAACAGGGCAGATGAATAAGCATATGAGAATGGCAATGAAGGTGCCGAGTAGAATGGTGAGAGCTCTCCTATAAGCAACTTGAAGAATCTCGTCATCTCGGTAACCGGAGACCGACACTAAACAAAAGGTCAGGATGAAGATGAGGAAGCCATAGTCATATCTTGCCTTTATTCGAGGGAAGAATCGTATGAACGTCGTTATTGCAGCTGTATTCATAGTGTCAAACTCAATCAGTGTATATAAGTATAGCTCAATTGATTAAAAACATATTCTTTTGACTCAAAAATTAGTGATGGGAATCTATCATCTATTCGAGCTCCCAAAAAGAAAAAAAAGATAGCACAATTTTCCCTTAAAAGTATCTTTTTATATATATATATATATATATATATGCAATATTTACGTAACAAACTAAATTGTAAGTTCAAGCTCTTAAGGGCGATGCTTCGTTCTTCTCTCTAACCGATGTGCGATCTCACAATTCATCTCCTTAAGGACCAACTTTGTTCCCCTCTCCAATCGATGTGGAATCTCACAATCCACCCACTTGAGAGCCAGCTTCATTCCCTTTTCTAATCGATGTGGGATCTCACAATCCACCCTCTCAAGGGCGATGCTTCGTTGTCCTCTACCACTGATGTGGCACCTCACAATCCACTCCTTAAGGACCAGCTTCGTTCCTCTCTCCAACCGATGTGAGATCTCACAACCCATCCTCTTAAGGGCGATGCTTCGTTCCCCTCTCCAATTGATGTGGGATCTCACAATCCACTCCTTAAGGGCCAACTTCGTTCCCCTCTCCAACCGATGTGAGACCTCACAATCCACCTCCTTAAGGGCCAACTTCGTTCCTCTTTTCAATTATGTGGGATCTCACAATCCACCCCTCAAGGACCATGCTTCATTCTCCTCTCCAACCAATATGAAGTCTCACAATCCACCCCATTAAGAGCCTACTGGCACAGCGCTTAGTGCCTGATTTGATACCATTTGTAATGGCTCAAGCCCACCGCTAGCAAATATTGTACCCTTTGGCCCGTTACGTATTGTCGTCAGCCTCACGATTTTAAATGAATCTACTCAGGAGAGATTTCCACACTTTTATCCAACTGATATGAAATCCAGATAGAAATTGTTCAAAATCTTTGTAATGGCGAGTATCAATTATTCTCGAAAATTTTGATATTCGAGAGAAATCATGACAAAGCAAAAAGTAATTTAAAAAAAAATCCAAAGAAATCATCACTAAAAGTAATTTAAAATTAAAATACAAACTTGTATCCCATGTTATTTATGTACTTTTTTTATTTAAAAATAATATTAGAAACTATATATTTGGAAGAATTTTGAAGTAGAATTACATACCAAAAATGAAAACAGAGAGCGATAGAATAACAGGTTGAGCTTTATCTCCAGCCAAATCCGCCAAAAAATGAGCTCCAAATCCCAAACTCGCAGCCAAAGACGTTGCCAAAACCCTATTCAATCCCCGTCCCAACGTCGCTCCTATTTCAACCGAACCAATAAATATAGCTCAACGATTAAGATATCTACCACTAAACATACAACAAAAATGAGAATATATTCACCTACGGAGAACTCGAAGACGACAACGACAGTCAAGACAGCCCACATAGCCGAGGCGCCAAGGCCATCATAGAGCGGCTCGAAGTAGTAGAACAATGACACCAAAGTGATGGCTAGGCCGACTTTGAAAGAATGAACGATTCTCCTTGGATCATCCTTGGCTAGTTTCTTTGTCTTTCTCAATAACTCGACCACCTTCGCCTTTAGGCTCGAAGATTTGGCTTTGAGCCCCTCACCCCAACGAGCCAAAACTCCCTCGTTTTTCTCATCGGACATCTCCACGGCCAAAGCAGCTCAAACTTGGTTTTTCTTCGCAATTGAATGAGAGGGAGATGGGAAAAGTTTCTCTCTTGTAATGAGATTTGGTAATGAAGCCTAGGTTGCCATATATATATATAGGAAGGACCCAAGATGGTAGCTTGAGAGTGTGTGGCCAACAAAAAGTGTCACCTTTATTGGTATGTAATTTTTTAAAAAACTCAAAACCCTTTAAATTAAGGTGGTAACTCTTTAATGGTACCTATAACGACCCAAGTCTACGTGTTAGTAGATATTGTCTTCTTTGAACTTTTCTTTTCGGGCTTCTCCTCAAGGGTCGTTCTCATCTTCAACCGATGTGGGACCTCACAATCCACCCCCCTTCGAGTTCCAGTGTCATTGCTGGCACACTTCCTCGTGTCCACCCCTCTTTGGGGCTCAACCTCCTCACTGACATATCGCCCAGTGTTTGACTCTAATACCATTTGTAACGGACCAAGACCACAACTAGCCGATATTGTCTTATTTGGGCTTCCCTTTCCAAACTTCCTTTCAAGACTTTAAAACGTTTCTATTAGTGAGAGATTTTCACACCCTTGTAAAGAATGTTTCATTCTCTTCTCTAATTGATGTGGGATTTCATAGTACCACTGATGACGTTTTTTATTTTTCAAACGAGTGCCATTTGAGTGTTTAGAAAAACTTATTTTTCATTTCAGTCTCTTACTATATCTACTCGAGATTATAGTAAGACTAAAATGATGACAAAAAAAAAAAAAAAAAACTTGTGGCCATATATACAAGACCTTACAACGAAACCCGAATGAAAATCCAATTTAAGGACTTTGATGCGTTGGTTAAAAAATAAGAAATGAAAAAGTTGACCGTAGCTATAGAAATATATATAAAAATCACGACAAAATCTTCCGTAGTCATTCATACTTCACTAAGGCTACCGTACGAATCTCTTATGCATCGAGATATCTTTCACGAGCTATAGAAAATTTGAGCCTTCAATCCCGAGCGAAAAGCGTAGATATATCTAATACAACTATTCGAGTTATTAACAGGTTCATCGTGCTCTTTTGGAAGTACAATCACGTAAAGAAGGTGAGAAAGGTTAGGAAGGGACACGAGTTTAGAAACCGTGTGAAGGAAATTTCATTGTCGTTTGTCGTTTTCCAGACAGTTCCAGAACCTACCGAAGTTACCATTGACACCCACCTGGAAAGACAAACCAACCAAAGCACCTTTTTTTAAGAAAAGAAAATGGCCAATTAAATTAATTAGTTTAAAATAGATTAAATTAATAAAAACTATCCACTCAAGTAGTATCAATGACTCAAGTCCACCGTTAACAGATATTGTTCGTTTTGTCCCATTACGTATCGTTGTTAGCCTCATGATTTTGAAACGTGTTTGCTAGGGAGAAGTTTTCACACCATTATAAGAAATGTTTCGTTTCTCTCTCCAACCGATGTGCGATCTCACAATCCACTCATCTTAAGGGCCCAACGTCCTCACTAACACACTGCCTGATGTCTAGCTTTAATATCATTTGTAATAAGTCAAAGCAGACAATAACTATTAGCGATGAACTTATTTTATTATGATTATTATTATTATTTTCTTTCGCACTTTAATCATAACTCATCATATTTATTCTATCTAATATTTATTTTCCTTTTGTTTCTTCTTTCATTTACACGTCAAATACTCAAAAGAGAGTATATTTGTCAGCCCGAGAATGACTCTATTGGTTAAAAGATTATTGTGACATTCGAGTAAATAAGAGATACACGATGAAAAAGGCATTTAGCAAAATAAAATACGAAGAAAAAGGCATTTAGCAAAATAAAATAGTACAATTATATCATATTTGGGATAGTGATAGCAATGAGTAGGCATTGTGTTTGGTTTTAGATTGGACCATTTGTGCAATAAACTTAAAATAAGAATCCAATGGTTGCACAAAACCTGGCTTTGATCTTCATCATCATTACAAAATAATGTAAGTTGTACCGAATTTAAATGATAAATCACCATTTTGAGATCGCGCCCATTTATGTGGCAAAATACATCGTCCAAAATGATTTTCGACAATATTGATGATTTTGATTCAAATGTTCGATAGGAAATACCGAAAAATGGTTTCATTCTTGACCAATTTTTTGGTCATTTTTCATTGTGGTACCATACTCAACTATTTTAGGAGCTCAACTAGCTAGTATTACGCTAAACCAACTAAATTATATATGTGGGTCAATCATAAATGATCTGTTGCAGTTAAAGATAGTTGGTAACGCTCTAGAATCTCATTCATAAATATGAGAGGAGTAGTTCAGTGCTTGTAAACTACGATGCATATGTGAATTGGTCATAAATGATTAATCGTTACTAACATCTGAAAAGAAATGAATAGTACTAGTGGGTATAAAAATATTTAGTAAGTAGTTGTGAGATCCCGTATCGGTTGGGGAGGAGAACGAAACATCATTTATAAAGGTGTGAAAATTTTTTCCTAGCAGACACGTTTTAAAAATTTTGAGAGAAAACCCGAAAGGAAAAGACCAAAGAGGACAATATCTACTAGCGGTAGGCTTGGGTCGCTACTGTAGCTAACTTATAAAACCGTAATATTTAAGATGAAAAAATCGTGTGCCTCCCTCCTTAGGACTTAGTGGGCTATAATGTCCATTCATATTGATATTGAAACATGAAAGTCAAAGTTTAGTCTTAACCAATTTAGGCCTATAGCGGGCTAGTACTCTAGTAAATCAGTTAAGCTACAACGTGGGTCAATCATAAATGATGTCTCGCTGTTGGAGGTAGTTTGGAATGAGGTACTCTAATAATTCAGCGAAGCTACAACGTGGGTCAATCATAAATTATGTCTCGCTGCTAGAGGTAGTTTGGAATGAAGTACTCTAATAAATCAGGTAAGCTACAACGTGGGTCAATCATAAATCATGTCTCGCTGTTAGAGGTAGTTTGGAACGAAGTAGGTCGTGCATTATTAGTTGGATTGAAGTAAGAATTTTGTAGGTTGGACAATATCTTGTTACAAATTGTATTAGAGTCAAACACAGACAGTGTGTCAGCCACATAGTGTGAGAATCTCTCTTTAGTAGACGCATTTTAAAACCATGAGACTGACGACTATACTTAACGAGCCAAAGCGGACAATATTTACTAGTGGTCGTAGGTTTGGGGCGGATACATTTTATGCTTCCACTTCTCGTGTTTCAGACGAATGCATCATTATATTCTCAAAATTACTCTTATTCGAACTTGATATTTCCGAGTCTCTATTGTTTTATAAATAATATAATGTTATTTTGGATCACGATCATAAAACAACTCAAAATAAATTCTTTGAAGATCAACCAACACCATCAACTTCAGCTTATTACAATGGTAAAAAGTAAAAAACCAAAGCTAATTGATGTTAGTTTCATTGCCATCTAATTACACTCAAATTTCACCCACTACTAATGGGTATTGTAACAAAAGAAACACCAATGTTGGGTTCCAATTTTTCCTTTTCACTTTGTATTGCTGAATCTGCAGGCTTGGCAGCCTTGAAATGGGCCAAAGAGGCAAGTTCTTGAACAGCCTCTGCAATTTTTTCGGTGATATCGACGACGTCGACGAGCAGCGTACCGACGTTGGCTGCTGGGATGAGTGTCAAGAGATCACAATTTTCCCACAAACGTGATGATTTGAGTGAGGCTTTGAGCTTTTTGGCGGCTGCTTTTGAGTTGTTTGTGTGGATTTCAGCTAGAGTTGGTTGAGTCATTTCTCTTATGGATGAAACAAGCTGCCTTAATGCTTTCCCTGTTTCCATGCTCATCTCCATACATGGTTCTTGGATTTGTGTTTGAATCTCTTGTGAAACCTACACGAATCGCGATTCATGAACAAACCCTTTTGGTTTAAATCCGTTTTAAATTACAAAAATGATATTTGAACGAGAATGAACATCGAATATTACTTGGAAACTAGAAGAAGAGAGATTGCGATGAAGGGCGTCGATTCTAAAGGCACATTGATAAGTTAGGGCTCCGATTTTTAGGTATTGCTTCCATGGATGACGAAACTGGAAACATCCGTGGCCAGGTTCCCACCTTGCGAAATTATACTGTACAGATATCAATTATCATTTTAAAGGTCGATCAGACGTTTGATCGTTTGATCTCCATTTACATGAAAAAAAAGAATACTGTACAGATAGAGAGGCACGTACCAATGTATCTTCGATGCCACTTGATTTTAGAATACTTTTATATGCTTGAATACTTTTGTCATCTTTAGCCTCTCTATCTTGTAAAGTTTTGAAGTATTCAACTGATCCATATCCTATGAAATATGGCAAAAATCTTCTTGAGTGGTTTCTACCCAAAAAATTTAAACCAAAAACAAAAGAATTCTTGAACTTTATAATAATTTCATGATTCCATGTTAAACAACCCTGCAATTAAATATAGATGTTGTAAACTCAACTAAGTAATTCAACACCTTAAATCACATATAATTTACTGTAGTTGAACTTGTTGTAAGAAAAGGTAGTTGAATATGTTAGACGAAGAGAATATAGTACGTAGACGCAACTAGAGTCGGTAGGAGTAAAAGTGAGGCTGGAGTCCCCGTAAATGTAACAACTCAAACCCATTGCTAGCAAATATTGTTCATTTTGACTCGTTACGTATCGTCATCAATCTCATGGTCTAACCCTACTCTAACCAATACCTAGCACCGTACGGTGACTGACTTTGATACCATTTGTAACAGCTCAACCCCCCGCTAGTAGATATTGTCTATTTTGAGTTTCCTCTCAAGGTTTTTAAAACACGTCTGTTAGGGAGAGATTTTCACACTTTATAAAGAATGTTTTGTTCCCTGCTTCAATGGATGTGGGATCTCACAATCTACCCCTGTACGGGCTAACAATTTTCTGATGGGCACATTAAGAGTAAAAGTGAGGGTGGAGTCTGTTGAGGACTGTTGGGAGAGGAGTCTCACGTCGACTAATTAAGGGGTTGATCATGAGTTTATAAGTAAGGAATACATCTCCAATGGTACGAGGTCTTTTGAGGAAACTAAAAGCAAAGCCACGAGAGCTTATGCTCAAAATGGACAATATCATACCATTGTGGAGGTTTGTGATTTCTAACAGAGCCCTCGTAAACATCTGATCCCCACAAACCCCTTTCAATAACTTCAGATTTGATAACTCTACTCAACGCCGTAAACGTCCCGCTCATTAGATCAAAAGTAAAAAACTTTGGAGGTTTATAGTCATAAAGTTTCAAAGATTGTAAGTTTACCTTCGAAGAATAGGGCTAAGTTTTCAATGTTGAGAGCAATGCGATTATGGAGATCTTGGCCAGCCCAAAATGGGGAAATAAAAATGGATATGACAACACAAACACACACACCAAGGAAGATCGTTGAAACCCTCTTCTGGAGAAGCAAAAGTATTTCATCATCTCCAACCCCAGATATTGATACAAATGAGAATGTTAAAATGCCTATCATCATTCCATAATCATATTTCGCTTTGATGCTCGGAAAGAACCTCATAAACGTCAATATGCACGCTGTTCAAACACGTACCCGACTTTTATCAAATCATATGGATTGAATTCTAATTTTCTTAAAACTATAACGAACAAACATAAACTATAAATTAGAAAGAAAATGTTTTACCTAGTAAAAAGACAAAGATACTGGTAATGATTGGCTGGCCAACATGCCCAGACAAGGCAGCTAAGTGATGAGCTCCAGCTCCTAAAGCACCAGCAAACAGTGTTGCAAATGCCCTATTCAGCCCTTTTCCCAGCGTTGCTCCTGAGGATTTTGAACCATAATTTGCATGGCCTCGTTAGAAGAAGCTCAAAGAAGTTGAAAATTTTCACACATATGAATGCATCATAAACACTGACTCTCTTAATTCTAACTAAGTTGTGTTTGGACGAACCGTTTTGAAAAGGCATGTTCGAGTGTAAAAATAGTTAAAAATATCATTCTTTTCAAGTTCCTAATCACTCAAAAACCGCGTTTAATCCTTCAAAATCAATGGTAATGGTATGTAAATCCCAATTAGAATGATTTTAAATGATTAAGGGCATGTGGAGTGATTTTAACCATTTCATAACCACTTTTCGAAAAGTCTAACCACTTGACTAAGCTTTATGTTCCAACGTCTGTAACAGCCTAAACCCACCGCTAGCAAATATTGTTCATTTTGATTCATTATGTATCGACATCAGCATCATGGTTTTAAAATGCATCTACTAGGAAGAGATTTTCACACCCCTATAAAAAATATTTCGTTTTCCTCCCCAACCAATATGAGATCTCACAATCCACCCCCTTTGGGAGTCCAACGTCCTCGCTGGCACACCGCCCGATATCTCGCTCTGATACCATTTGTAACTGCTCAAGCCCATCGCTAACAAACATTGTCCGTTTTTGCTCATTACATATCGCAATCAGCCTCACAATTTTAAAACACGTCTACAAGTGAGAGGTTTTCACACCCTAATAAAAATGTTTCGTTTTCTTCTCCAACCAACGTGGGATCTCACAATCCACCCCCCTTGGGAGCCCAGCATCCTTGATGGCACACCATCCGATATCTGGCTTTGATACCATTTGTAACAGCTTAAACCCACCACTAGCAAATATTGTCCGCTTTGGCCCATTACATATTGCAATCAGCTTCACGATTTTAAAACGCATCTACTAGGGAGAGGTTATCACACCCTTATAAAAATATTTTGCTTTCCTCTCTAATCAACGCGTGTGCAACAAAAAGTATAAAAAGTGATGAACTCCTTCAAAATTCAAAGAAAACAACAAGAAGAGAGACAAAAAAGAGGCAAAAGGAAGCTAAAATAAAGCAATCATACCTACTGAAAATTCAAAAACAACAACGACAGTTATGACAGCCCACATTGCAGAAACTCCAAAGTTTGCGAAAAGTGGTTTATAATAATAAAGCATTGAGACAATTGTGAGTGTAAGCCCTAATTTGAGTGAATGAATAACCCTTCTTGGATCATCCTTCCCCAAAGCTCTTGTCTTGTTTGCAACTTCCACCAATTTTGCAAATAAACCCTTCACCCATACAAACCTTCCACTCATTAGCCCTACTTTTTCATCGGACCCCATTTCCATTGCTTAGAGAGACAGAGAACAAAGGAGCTTGCTAGAGAGACAAGAACTCAATGGTTTGTGGGAAATGTGTTGGAGCATATCTAGTATTTATAATACCACTTAAAAAAATTGCATTGTAAAAGAAAAGATTTGAAAAGTTATTGAAAGTTCTTTGAAAATGTATTCCATCCATTAAAGGGTTGAATTTGGTTAAAGTTTGTCCGAGTAATTCATGACGCTCGAGTGAATAAATTGAGATTATATCTGAATGAGAATGGTCTTAAAGATATGCGGATGTGGTTAAGAAAGTCTTAAAAGAATTTAAAGTTACTACCACGATGTGGGATCTTTAAAACACGTATACCCTCAAGATTTTAAAACACGTTTGCTAGGGAGAAGTTTCCACACGCTTATAAAAAATGTTTCGTTCCCCTCTCCAACCGATGTGAGATCTCATAATCCATCCCCTTCGAGGCCGAGTGTCCTCGTTGGCACACTACGCGGTGTTTAGCTTTGATACCATTTGTACCAACCCAAACCCACTGCTAACAGATGTTGTCCTATTTGGACTTTCCCTTTCGAGCTTCCCCTCAAGAATTTTAAAACGCGTTTACTAGGGTGAAGTTTCCACACTCTTATAAACGTTCCTCTCTCGAACCAATGTGGAATCTCACAATCCACCCCCTTTAGGGGCCCAGCATCTTCGTTAGAACTCGTTCCTTTCTCCAATCAATGTGGGATCTCAAATGTTCTTTTAGAAAATTTTCTATAAAATGGAGTGACGATTTGCAGAAATAGTCTTCATTCTTAGAAATAGTTTAAGTCAAATAAGCAACATGTCATGTCATAGGGGATGCAAGGGAATACTGGGACCATCAAGTTCTGAATCGAAATATTAAATCCTAGTCAAACCCTAAAAATGGAGCGTTCCAACTTTAGAGTTTATTCTTAATTTTTCCAAAAACGAAATTAGTTTGCTTTAGTATTGGCAATTAGAGATCAAAGTATGGAGAGGGCACATGTGAAGAGTTGTTCACTACTCCATTAAAGGTAAAGTTAAAGTTAAGATTTTTGCATCCTATAGTGTAAGAGGGCCTTCAACTTGGATATCAGGTTATGTGCTATTGCATATATTCCTAAACCATATGGTATCAATTTCAGCCATTGAAACCCTACTTTTATAAAGCTCATCATATCTATTTTAGTCACACAATGGACCAATCAAACTCATAAATCAAGTGACACTCATCGAGTCATTCCCAAACAACATTGAGCATTTACAAAATGCTTCAAGAATTAGAACCTTTCATCAATTATTATAGCGGTCGATATTTGATATGGTTCACTTTAACTCATTACGTATCGACGTCAGCCTCACAATTTTAAAACGCATTTAATATAAGGAATATTTCGTTCTGTTCTTCAACCAATGTGGGATCTCACAATCCACTCATCTTGGGAACCCCAACCCAACATCTTCGCTCACACACCACCTTGTGTCTGGCTCTGATACCATTTGTAACAGCCCAAGGTCACCGCCAGCTGATATGGTCCACTTTGTTCATTATGTATCGCAGTCAATCTCACATTTTTAAAACACATTTGCTAGGGGGAGATTTCCACGCACTTATAAGAAATGTTTCGTTCCTCTCTCCAAACAATATTGAATCTCACAATCTCAATGCTACAACATTAGTCATCAAGTTTTAAGTAACTATCTAATAGTATTTTCTCAACGTTTTTACATAACCCATTAACTTATACTTTGATATCATAGCAGAACGTCGCCCTATAACGTCGAAAATTGTGTGGAATTGTCGTTTACCACTTGTTCGATTAACCCTTTTCTTTATTTACTTTTTGAAATCAAATGAATCCCTAACATGAAAAAGGAAAAAAAAGGAACAAAAATCATTACAAGTATGCAAGCAAGAATCAAACATGAGGCATATTCTGATTCCAATAAACTTGGTGATCGTAGACTTCTCTGCAAAATCTAGTGAGGCATCAAAAACTTAGCTGCTTTGCCAACGAGGCTTGCCTACATAGCCATTAATGACATCTTTTTTGCTAACACAATTTCTAGATGCCTTTTCTTTTTTCCTTCTTGGTTTTATTTTTGGCCATCCATCTTCTATAACAATGTTCTTCATGTTCTATTTCATTCATTTAACTTGTTTTTGAAAAGGAATTACAAAAGAATTTTCACATATTTTCATTTAACTTGTTTTTTAAAGGTAGATATGTGTATCATCTCAAGCTCGTCGTCTACTCGAGAGAGGTTTCCACATAAGGAATGTTTTGTTCCCCTTTTCAACCGATGTGGGATCTCACAATTCATTCCCTTTGGGGGTTTAGCGTCTTCGTAGGCACACTGTCCGGTGTCTGGCTCTGATATTATCTATAACAATTTAAGTCAACTGCTAGTAGATATTGTTTACTTTAGCTAGGAACGATCCGTTAGGATGAGCTTAGAAGCACCAAGTTGAGTCTGAAACGATAAGTGAACTTACTACTGGAATACGCTTAGATTGGATGCAATTGTTTGATTCATGAATAACACGTACTCTATGAACCCATTAATGTGTTATTATTTATGTTATGATATCTGAAATAACTGCGAAAGGGGTGAGGAGCATGTACTTCCTTTTTCTGTTTGATTATGATTGCTATGTTGGTATGACATGTTTATGTCCTGCAAGACATCAGGATGTACGATGTATGATATATGTAAATGAAATATCATGAATATGTGTGTATGTCTCATAAGCGTCATGATAAGTTTTATATGCATCTTCTCATTGATCCATGATTTTAATGCAGGATCTCTACATCTTGTATGTCATATGATCATAGATTTTTCTCTAGTCTTATGTACAGATGCATACATCATGATATCATTTGCATTCCTTTCTTTTCCATTGGTTTTTCGATAGCGTGTATTTGTGTTAGTCCATAGTTAGGCTTAGAGGGTACGTTAACGAGTCCACCTAGTGGGCTCATGTAGGCATATATGGTCCGTGTGTAGAGAAGTACTATACACCCAACGTTCCTACCCAAAAAAAAAAAAGTAGAGCCCAAGAAATAGTCATGAAAATTAGGTTTCACTAATCATGATACAATATGTGAATGCATTTTTTGACCTCAATAATGAGGTTACTTACTGAATACTTTTAAAAGTAAATGACTCACCAACAATATCCGAAAAGATAACAATAAAGTACTATCTTACTAAGGCGTTAGATAGATACTCTGACCTTACAAGTCTAGAGCTCTTTATAGAATGTAAAAAAGTAGGTCTCTAACCTATCACACTAAGATTTCGCTTTAATTACTCTACAAAAGGGAATTTCCTAGCCAATGTATTCCTTTAGGCATCACTAATAACCTCAAATATGTTTACTTGCTTAAACTACCTCTTTAAAATGATCTTGAGATGTCACATAGGTTGAAGAGGAGAACGAAACATCCCTTATAAAGGTGTATAAACATCCCTTTAACATACGTGTTTTAAAACCTTGAAGAAAAGCCTAAAAGAAAAAGCTCAAATAAGACAATATCTACTAGCCGTGAGTTTGAGCTGTTATAAATGGTATCAGAACCAGACACCGAACGGTGTGCCACCAAGAACACTGGCCCCCAAGAGAGTGAATTGTTTAATGTATATATATATATATATATAATATAGTTTGAATATGTTCGTCTCCACTAACAGATCGATTTGTGCTCCTTCCCTTGTAACTTTTTGACATCATAGTCTCATTTTGTTTACTTGTAGGGTTATCATGCTTATCAAAGGTTGATATGTTTATTCTTTACAATATCAGAATATCTCTATTTTTATTCTTTTTTTTTTTTTCTTTTTTCATTGCATAATGCAATGTCTACCCTTAATTTATTGGCAGACATTCCTAATTTCTACCACACATAAAATATTGACAGAGATCCCTTTATTCTCACTTGACTGCCACAAAACATGTCTTGCTACTTGTTTGTTACAAGACATGTCGATTTAAGGGACATGTCGATTTAAGGGCATAGCGAAGACGGAAAGATGGAGAAATGCTCGGTTCTTAGTTTTTAAGACTTGTTTTCATGCTAACGTTTTTATATCTCTTGTTTGACAAGAGCATTTGATGGTTCTTGTACTGTTTGATGTAAGTTAATAAACTTGACTGGTTCAATGTTGAATATTGAGCATCACATTTGAATCATAGGATGTTGTGGAACATTTTTAAGAGAAGTTATAAATCGTGGAGCTATTTTTAGGTGAAGTTATTAATCGTGTAGCGTTTTTTTTTTCTTCTTCTTTAAATCGTCATTCGTTGTACGTTTATTTTGAATTTAGGAATCATTGTGATTAAAAGTATTTTAGTACAAAGTGTGTGTTGTGAGTGTTTAATTCTGCTTTGATTATTTACTTCGATGTGCTTCAATCGAGCATCAAAACACTCAAAGGATCGAATTCTCCCTAAAGAGAGGGGTTGATCTGTAATATCAATTACAAAAAAATGAAGTTCGAGTTGATGAACAAAGTGACCAAAAGATCATCATTACAAATGCAAATATAATCTTAATATTGATTAAAGCGGAGAAAATTTCAGGTATCTTGTATACTCCTAAAGTAGATAAATTGTGAGATCTCTTATCAATTGTAGAGGGGAACGAACATTTCTTATAAGGGTATAGAAATCTCTCCCTAGTGGACGCGTTTTAAGACTTTGAGTGGAAGCTCGAAAGGAAAAGTCCAAATATGACAATATCTGTTAGCGATGGACTTAGGTTGTTACACAGGTCAAGACAATATCAAAACTGAGATACATTTAACTTGATAGGAGGTGAATTTTAGCAATGAATAGGGCATTCGAGGTAGAATATGTTTCAATATGTACCTCTAGTTTGAGCTGATGGTTAGCTCATTACTTTATGTCATATCTTGCTTTTGGAGTGCATGCCCTTAAAAAGAAGACGTGCATAATCCAAGACTAAGTACAATATTGAATGATGTTGGTGCCTATGCGAACTTTGCATGTTCGTATGTCTTATTGTGAGAATCTCTTTTTACATTGGATTGTAGAGTCTAATCACCATCGAATCAAGTTCGAGTCGAAGCTCGAAAGAGAACTCAAATGTGTTAGGAGTTAGACGTAACCTCTGTTGAACTAGAGCGATCCAACCAGACCTAAATAATTCCTCCTCTTTCACATTTGAATCAAATCGAAGTTAAACAACGATAACTACGTAATGGAGTTAGGGATAAAAAGAAACGACATTAGAATTTGTACTAGTTCACCTCAAGCTTAGGTTTACATGCAATCGTTTGCAACTCCAAGTTCTACTATATGTGAAGATTACTATGACTCCCTTTTTCATGCTACAAATCTCTCTCTCGAGTTAGTTTCTATTGTTGGTACTTGTTCCCTTCTCCGACCCTCCAATCCACTCCCTTCGAGGTTCACTCTCCAATCTTCACTAGCACATCGTCCGATGTTTGGCTTTGATATCATTTGTAATGGTCTGAG